ATTTTCGAGATATTCACTGATTATTACTTTTACATACTTTTCTTAAATGCAAACCCCAATTTCTTATTATATCATCTTTTTCTACCAATTAATTTTAACAACTTGTGTCTGGAACATTTTTTATTTGCCTAATATTTTTTAAGATTTAAGGAAAACTTAGTAACTTTTTCAATATTTAACTTACAATATCTCGCTAATTGCTTGTTGGAAGAAAAAGTGGTACTAGACTTTTTTATTTTACTTGGTCTCAAGAATATATTGTTACAATAGTGCCCTGACTTTTGTTAATTTGATTTTGACATTTCCAAAACTCTATAAGTTAACAAAAGTTAAGGCACTATTGTAACATATACAGGGTATTTATAAAGTCCGACCCCACCCCTGGATCTCGGAAATGGCTTTAAATATGGAAAATTGTTTCAGACAAAAGTTGTAGAATATTGAGGGGGACACATGATTAAAATATGGATTTGACCTTGAGTAACTTTATCAAGGCCAGGTCAATGTGATCGATGTTTTCTTAAATGGAACCTCGTATTTTTTTATTGCGTATTCTTATAGCCCTTGTCGAGACGTTTTCAAAACACTATCTATTTTTTGCGCAAGCTATTTCCAAGATATAAAGCTTCAAAGTTGACATACCGCGCGCGCGCGCGCGGGCGCGTGTGTGTGTGTGTGTCACAGTAGAGATAAGGACCCCACGGTTCGACACTCTAGTATTTTTTTTATTTCAAACCCTCTTCACTGTGTGTGTGCGTGTGTGTGGCCCTAAGAAGGACCAATTTTGTGTGTATGTATTTCTTTAGTAAAAATCTCCCCCCCTCTCTCTCTGTCTCTCTCCACCATTCTTCTTCTCCTTCCCTTTACATTAGTTATTTTCTTGCCGTTCACACACACACACACACACGCGCGCGCGCGCACACACACACACACACGCACGCACGCACGCACACGCATACACACATACACACGCACACACAAGAGGCATAAATCCGACCGTGCACCCTCCACGCGATACACCTTGAGTAATGCGAATGCCGGCAGTATGTCAACTTTGAAGCTTTATATCTTGGGAATGGCTTGCACAAAAAATAGATAGTGTTTTGAAAACGTCTCGACAAGGGCTATAAGAATACGCAATAAAAAATAGGAGGTTCCATTTAAGAAAACATCGATCACATTGACCTGGCCTTGATAAAGTCACTCAAGGTCAAGTCCATATTTTAATTATGTGTCCCCCTCAATATCCTACAACTTTTGTCTGAAACAACTTTCCATATTTAAAATCGTTTCCGAGATCCAGGGGTAGGGTCGGACTTTATAGATACCCTGTATTATGTACAATATATTCTTGAGATCAAACAGTTTCCATTTAAAAAAAAAATAATCAGTAAATATCTCGAAAGTGGCACCATCTATAAGCAAACTGATATAATTATTTTATACCCTCCTTGAAACCATACAACTTTTGTCTGAAACATTTTTCTGTATCTTCCATATTTTTCGACATATTTGCTTGGGACATTTAAAATGGTACATCCTATATAACAGATCCGTTAATTTGGAGTTGGCGATCAATCGATGAAATTGTCAGTTGCAATATTCAATATCCAGGATTGAGAATTTAATTAATGTATAATTATTTTTATTATTAAATTAATGTGAATCTGGTTGAAGTTACGCTGGGAAAATGTCCGAGAGTTAAGTCAGCTTGAAGTTCTACGAAAAATTTGACAAGTGTGTGGTGCAACAGAATCTTAAAAGTCGATTATTTCGTAAAGAAATTTCTTGTCGCATATACGTAATTAAAACAACGAAGAAGAAGAGGTAGATAATCGTCGCCATGATTACGCAGTTTTCTACACAATTAACGTACGAACAACTACTAGGCCGAAAGCGATTCAGTAATCTATAAGGGATTTAGTCACATTTATATTTTAATAATGGAAAAAAGTTCTTCGCGGTCGATAACAATGCGATATGTGTCAATATAAAGACATTTTATATCTCTCGTCATCGAAATATACTGAATCATGTTGGTTCACTATTAAAGCTATCGTAAAGATATCGCTAGTTAAAGATATCGTGTAACGTAGATGATAAAATACGTATCGTGTTATAGGTATACGTCGCAGGTAATCGTAAAACCTGACAATTATTTTTTCAAAAAGAAAAAGATAAAGAATAGACGAGAGTAGATAAGAGGTTGAAATGAAAGCAACCCAGTAAACACAAAATATCATCGATATTACAATGTTAACTAAATCATCTGGTATATTACATAACTGTTGCTTTTTTATATACCATATGATTTAACTGACATTGTAATATCGATGATACTTTGTGTTCACTGGGAAAGAACAAACGAAGAGGTAAAAAACAAATTGAATGTTGGAATTTGCACAAAAGTTGATAGATAGATAGATAGATATATAAAGAGAGAAAGAGAAAGAGAGAGAGGGAAGGAGGGAAGAGTGAGGTAAGAAGTATGAGAGGGAAGAGAAAAAGAGAAAAAATGTGTAGTAAGAATGTGTAATAAGCGATGTGTAGTAATAATGAGAAAAATATGATGCATAAAAATAAAAAGAGACGTTGACAAATGAAAAAAAAATAAATCAACATAGACCGCCGCCTCGGAAAGTTTATTATTATAATACATCGATCAATAAGTTCCGGGACTAACTACTAAAACAACATTTGTTTGCCAAAATTCTTCTTTATTTATCAACATAGTCTCCTTCAAGAGCGATACATTCATTCCAACGCTTTCCTAACTTTTCTATGCCAGCCGTGTAGAACGATCTTTGATTTAAAAATAGGCGTTAATTTCGGCAATCACTTCTTCATTGGAGCCAAATCTCTTTCCCTGGAGCATCTTTTTGAGGTCTGCGAACAGCCAATAATCGCTGGGGGAGATCTGGAGAATACGGTGGGTGCGGAAGCAATTCGAAGTTCAACTCATGCAATTTGGCCATCGTTACCATCGACTTGTGACACAATGTAGCGTCACTAAAATCACTAAACTCAATGACACAATGTCGGAATATCATGAAATTTTGACACGTAACTTCTAAAGGTTGGTACTAACTGAGAATGATATGGATTTGTTATTAGAGGCGCCATTTGTTGGTTAGTCCCAGGACTTGATCGATGTGTTATATTAACGCTACTGATCGATGTGTTATATTAACGTTGCTTTCCGCGACTTGTGAAACAAAATAAAAATTGTTCATCTCTCTCTCTCCTCCCCTTCCCCCCTCTCTCTCTCTCTTCTCAAGTGAAACGGATAAAAAGCGTACAAAATGCAATTAAAAACAAAAAGGTCAGTTTGGAATGTCACGGTGACGGTAAAGCGTGAATTAAAAGTCAGTCGGGATAAAAGTCGGATTCTAGAAAAGCAAACTGCAATGCGGAGTGCAATCGCTGGAGAAATCGCAACGAAGAACAGCCAAAAAGAGAATTTTAGCAACCATTTAGGGTTAATTGATCGTAGCTTGCAATTTCACGATGTTCGATCGAGTTCTTGCAGGATCGATATTTTATCCTCTTCCCCTTTCCCCTGTTCTTTCACCATCACCACTTCTCTTACTACACCCAAGAGTAATGTTGCGTTCGGTAATATGGAACTTTCCGCTATTTTCGGTCAGTTAATAACAATAATAGGAATTTATATATACGTATAATATATATATATATTATTCAATTATACAATTATCGAAATAAATGTAAACTATGTTCGAAACATCGACTATACTTAGAGAGATCAATACGGCATCTTCGTTTCTGTTTTGCGAGGAATTATATAAAGTTTATCAGCAATACCGTGTTTACATTCCCGATATAATTTATCTTCTTTCCTCTATACTCTTCTTCCCTGCATCTCATGTATCCGAAAAATAAATATACATTTATTTTTTATTATAGAAAGCATATAGCCCAAGAAAAACGAATTTTATAAGCGGCATCGTAAAAACTGTCACATAATTTACCTAGTAAACAAATTGTTCTGCAATGAAATTGGAAAAAGAATGCAAGAACAATAATAACAACAATAAAGAATATATCAAAACTTGCTCCGATATAATCGATTATAATAATATTGAAGAATAAACTATCTCACACTCTTTTACCAACTAAACGGAAGCATCGTGTTGATATTGGGTCTGTTCTTTTTAGCTTAAACTTGGTTGCACTGTTTGCTCTTAGAATAAAACAAGTATGTAACTGGTGTTGAAAGGAAAAAGAGACGAAGTTCCAGTTCTAGTCCAATTAAGAGCAAGCCTTTATTGTAATAACTATTGTTATTATATTGAGTATGTGTGCAGAAACATCCGTAGAAGCTGAACAAGTAAAGCGCAGAGCATTTCAATTATCCCGACACCGAACGTAATACCAGCCAATTCGATTAATCGCGCGACAAGAAATTAAAAAGTGGCCGTGTACGTTCAGACGATTTGCGTCGATTCGCGCGGCGCAAATGCAGCCTCAGGAATCGATACAGTCCTGTTCCCCTCCCTATGCGACGCCGCTCGGACGATACTGTGCGTTCGTTCCCTGCGGGAACGTATCTCTCACTCCCTCCCTTCCGCTACTCTTTCACAGTGATTATCTACACTGCCACCTCTTTCCTCTTTTCTCTCTTTCTCGCTTTGCGCCGTATGACTTCGCAGATATATCGACTGACGAAATTTCGATCGTCAAAACGGAAGGAACAAGATCAATAATCTTAATCGCGTCGTCATAACATACACGGCGGCACAACTGTCGTTGATGACGACGTTGACGATGACGGTTTCTCACTCACGGTGTGTCACAGGGGCGAAGCGGAGGGAAACGGGAGAAGAGAGGAGGGGTTCGAATAACGCGACCGTCGTGAGATACGTCAGGAAAGAAACGTCCTGTACGTCTGCCATGACGTCTCTCCGGTACGCATTTCTCGGACCTTCCTGGTGTTCGAAAAGGGAACGAGATACGGCGAGAGAATACAGTACAACACTCACCTGAATAGATCCTCGAGGGGCGTGATGGAGGCAGACTCGCCACCGTAGTACTTGTTGCGGTCGATGTGCAGCACCCGTTTACCGCTGACCGACAACATGCCCGACAGGATACATTCCTTGAGGCCGGTGCCTAGCACGATTGCGTCGTATTCCTCATTCATGTTCGGCTGAACGGGGCTCACTAGCGGTAAAAACAAGAAAGAGAGCACTCGGTCGGTCGGTGCTTCGCGACTGTCGCGCGACTCGAATGTGCGATATATGCGATTCGCGAAAACGTGTCCTCCCTCTCGAGAGACCTTCGGCTGTTTCCAAGCTGCTTCTATAGTGTGTGTATATGTGTGTGTGTGTGTGTGTGTATGTGTGTATGTGTGTGAGCCTCGTACTCGCCGCGTTCGACTTTCCTCTGTGACGTCGCAGCAATCAGGGAAACGCTACGCGGTCAATCGCTACGTGGCTATACGCACACGGCACGCGTGAACGACACGGCGAAACGTAAGACGCGGCTCGCTGTTCTCTCGTTATTTTGTCGACGACGACGAACCTGCGATGACGTGACGGCGATGGTAACGACGGTGACGGTTGCAGCGGCCGGACGGTGGCGGTGACGGCGGCGCGACGACGCGCGGCGGTGCGATGACGGTAGCGCTACGTCGGACATTTCCCTAGGACGCGTACCGCGTGTCGGTGCGCATTGCGAGGCGGCTCTAAAGAAAATCCTCGATACTCATCGTGCACGCGAGTATCGATGATGAATCTTTCTCTAAAATGAACTCGTAAAATGTGGACATTCCCGTATGCTTTTACGTTATAAAATGTTCATTTTTCACGACTTCGCGCTAGAAGAAAGGATTCATGACTGATACTCAGTTCATTATTCCCGCGCCGTGAATGATCGATCAGAATCATTTCAGAATTGAGAAGAAATTTGTTATTTATAACGAAGTTATAGTTTAATATAATTATTTTTTATATTTAGTATAATTATATTTATATTCCCAGCAAACACAATATTACATATAACGTGCATGTTAGTTGTAATTTCCAACTCAACAATATAACTATTATATAACACATGTATAGGAAATTACAGCTAACATGCACGTTACATGTAATACTATATGTACATGTAATATTGTTACATGTAATGTTACATGTAATATTGTATTTGTTGGGTTAACTTCGTTCCGTTTTTTCCATCTATAACTGTAACGTAACTTAGTTACATTTGTTTAATAACTGTAGTAACTAAATTAATAGTTATTTTATATATTTTAAACTGAAGTTTCTGATGAACTAGTAGATAACGCGACATGCGATGCTTGATATCCAGTAAGTATATAGTTATTCGGACTGCATTTGAAAAACGCACTATTGCGTCATCTATCTTCATTGATTAGATATAAAATAAGGATAAAATGACGCAATAACGTTGATAATCTCTCCAAATGCAACCTGTATTTCTTTCAGAAAAGTTGTACGTCTATTGGACATTTCCGCCGCGCGTCGCCAATCCTCATTTATTAACATAACTTTCGTTTAGCGTGAAATGAGCTGCACAGCTGGTTTCAGTTATATGCAAAAATTCAAGCGATGGATAAAACATCTCAATCTTCGGAGAAAGATTATAAAATGCCATGGCCAGCATATGCAGAAATATTTGAGTTATAGCAAAAATTTGGAAAGAACCGAATATTTCTCTATAAAATTTGTGCTGGCAAAAAAATTATTCGTGCAAATAGAACTTTAAGTGCAAATTTAAGAAAACATGTAAGTGTAAGACTTTATATTTAAAATATCAATATATATTTTAGTAAAAGAATCTAATTTTTGATGTTAAGATTACTTTTAGTATTTTTAATATTTATTATCCTCATCAAACTCATTCACGTCTTATAATTGTTATTAATAGTCTTAAAAAATAAACATGAATTGCTTATTTAAGTTAATGAATTTAATTAGTAAAAATTATATATAATATGACGAATATAATAATCAACAAACTACTTTTATTTAAAATTAAAGGAATTTACATAATTATGAAATTTAAAATAATAGTATAATTATTGTAAAAAAGTAACTGAAAAGTAACGACTTATTACTTCTTAAATAACTTTAAAGCGTGGTCTATAATGGCCGTAAGCAGTAAGAAGAAAGCGTGAACAGTAAGAAATGGACCAACCACAATTGATTATTTTTGTCACAATCGACTGTGATTGATTTATTTCTTACCGCTTACGCTTACTTCTTTACTGCTTACTGCCATTGTAGACCACGCTTAAAGCGTCGTCTACAATGGCAGTAAACAGTAAGAAGTAAGCGTGAACAGTAAAAAATGGACCAACCACAGTTGATTATTTTTGCTATAATCGACTGTGATTGGTTTATTTCTTACCGCTTACGCTTACTTCTTACTGCTTACTGCCATTGTAGACCGCGCTTTAAAGGCTCGACTGCAATAGCTGTAAGAGTAAGGCTATGAGGCTGTAACGTAAGCTGTCAGCGAATGAAAATATTTCATTTCGTGTCTTACAACCTTATAGCCTTACTCTTACAGCTATTGTAGACGAGCCTTCAGAGGCCTTCTACAATAAGCAATTAGTCATAAGCTATAAGCAAATTGGCAAATCACAATTGATTATTTCAAAAATAATCGACTGTGGTTGGTCAATTTGGTTACAACTTATGACTAGTAGCTTATTGTAGAAGGCCCATAACTGTTATTTTTGAAGGTCAGTAACTTATAACTGTAACTAGTTACTTTTTCAATGAAAGAAACTAATTGTAACTAGATTACTTTTACAAAGTAACTTTCTCAACCCCGAGTAATCTTTATCATCTGTATATTACACGAACGGATGAAAAAATGATGAAGAGTGAAGATAGATGTAGGATTAACCTGGAAATTGAAACTTTTCCTCCATCTGTAGTGTGGTTGAAGAATATAGTAGAAAGAGATGGGATAATTTATGATACGCATCCCGCCCGAAATTATTTATAGCCCTCATCTTTTTGCAAATTGATTAGTGCACAATATATTTGAGATTTATTTTGGTTTATAGGTTTTTCTTAATTTATTTAAATCTATATAAGTTAATATGTTGCGGCTATACAATGGTATTTATAATTTTATAAATTATTATTATTTAATCTGAGCACAAGTTGGCATTTGAATATAATTGTCAGTCTTTAACAAACGAATCTTCGAACTATCTTCGTTTTGAACCAATAAAATTCTATTATTCTAGATCGTTGTTTTTCATGGAAACCGCCTTAACCTCTTTCTTAGCGACATTGCAGCCGCTGTCGTGGCATTAACTTTTCTCGTTTCTTCCGTTGGCTATCCTGTGCTTACCTACCACCAGATAGCGCCAGTTTCGAAGCAGCCCGCGATAGCCATGGTATGCGTCGACTGAAGTGGCTCGAATTAGTATGTGTACAGCGATAAGTTCGTGCGGTTATGCTGTTGAGCCGCGGTTGAATCGGAGTGAGTCGTCTGACGCACGGTCGTGCTTATCAATCGTGGTGAATCGCGATAACACGAAACGTCAAAGTACGAGCCGTCCTGACGATAAGACCGAACCCGCCGTCGTGATGCGCGAATTTTGAAAACGGAGACGGTGGAGACACTGTTGCTTTTCAACTGTACGATCTTGCGTAGCCCATGTGTCTTGTACGCGTCTTTTCACCACAAGGAAATCGCGGATACGTTGCTTTCATTTTATCATCCAAGTATCTTACTCCACCGACGTAGTACGCGACCACGTCAACGCAATGAGTTTTCCTGTTCAGGATCGTCAACTTTCTCGACACGGGAACAGACGCGCGTGCTAACGCGAGTGCAAGAGAGAGAGGGAGAGAGAGAGAGAGGGAGAGGGAGAGGGAGTGAGAGTGAGAAAGAGCAGAAGAAATGTGAGAATTCGGAAGACGCTTTTAACGGCACGATTCAACGAGGCCACGTGGACTACGTCAGCAGCCAAAAAAAATGTGAGTCTTCTTTCCTTTTTTTTCGTTTTTTTCTTTCTTTCCTTTAATCTTTCCGTTATACGTGCTTGCCGTGTTTTCCTCATCTTCTCATTAAAGTACGGATTCGCACTCCGAGAACGTAATGTAATAGTCGACATCATCATTCATTCATTCATTCAATATATGGCTCTGAGCAGAGTCATTATACTCCTCCTACGCCAACCACAACGATTTTGGAAATAAAAGAGAAACAGGGACAATGCGTACGCAGTCCCCAAGATCAAAAATATATGTAGTTACAGGAACCACATCCAACCGCCACGGAGGCGAACAAAAGACTCTAATCGACATCATCGTACAACGTCTTTTATAAGAAAGTCAGCTGTTTATTCGTAACGAGAAAGACCGATGAGATTTCCACACGAGATCGTTGATTTTTCGACACGCGATTTAATTAAGTTCGTATTGATGCTCGTATTAATAGTCGTTACTTGAAACTTGCCCCAAATTAAATACATCAATTTGAATTTAGAGTCAGAATGAATTTTTCCGTTGAATCACGATTACAAATGTAATAGCATATATATTGTCTGTGTTCTAAAATTTCCTAACAATCCTGAAAATCTATAGTTGTACGTATTATAGATTTTTAGTACTGTCATTTTAGAGAATATAACCATTATATGATTCATGTAAAAAACTCAAATCTTGTTCTAAATTTAGATTTGATTATCTTATGTGGGATAAGTTTCAAGTAATACATTTAAAAATAAAGAATATGAATAAAGAATTAAACGTGATTTTTAGTTTATTTTGAATCACTATTACAGATATAATGTTGTAAGTCGTAATTCGATCAAAGAACTCAAATCTAACTCTAGATTTAAATTCGAATATCATATATGAAACAATTTTAAAATAAAGATGTCACTACAATAAGGCTTATAAGATGTTTAAAAGACATACCACTTGTAAACATTTTTTACATATTTCCGAGGCATAATTTAGACATTTGTACTGTCTGAGAAGACTTGCCGCATGTTTAAAATCAAAAAAGAGATTTTGCTAGTTCCTAAATTTTATAAAAAATCGTTACTTAGTAATAATTGTTATTGAAAGGAATTTGACGATCGATCGGATCAAATTTAAACACACAGCGAAAATTAAAAAGCGAAAGGTCTGACGGGAATTATATGGCGATGTACTTTAATTGTCGACCCTGGCGAATAATTTTACTTCACGATGAGAAATAAAAACGCTGCAAAAAGAACTCATCATGAGACCTGGAGCGTGTCATCGAGCCGCTCCTTTTTAAATGTATTCGCGGCCGATTGCTATCTACGTTGCGTGGAAATCCCTTGTAATCAGATAGCATCATGGAAAAGGGCCACCATCGTAGAAAAGAGGTAGAGTAATTCTTTGTTTTTGCGGCGTCGTCGTCGACGTCAAGTAACGGTTAATTCGACTGAATGCAACTGTGTAAAATTACCTCGACTGTTAGAATGTGAAGACATTCTTGCGCGTAAATCGATTTGAGCACCCAGTAAAGGCGATCTTATGGCCTAGAGAGACGGATATATACAAATCTGTCCCAAAAGTATTACTCGACGTTTTCTGTATATTCTCCTGACGGGTATACAAGTGTATTTAAATTTAGCAACAATTTTACTGGTAGATCTATAAGAAGAAAGATTATATCGCTTCTATAAGTGGCATTTATGTGGCATTCATATTTATCGCGTAAAACGATGAAATAAAAAAATGCAAAAGGAAAATATCCAAATTGAAAACGGCATGTTATGTAAAATGTAATATAAAAAAATTAGTGTAACTTTTAGCAAGTTAGTTTTTGCGTTAATATAATAAAAAATTTACATTGTACATTACATTATTATATGATATAAATTTAATGATTAAAAAAAATTCAATATAGTATATTTGCTTTATAATAATAATAATAATAATAATAATAATAATAATAATAATAATAATGATGATGATGATAATAATAACTAATAAGAATAACAACAACAACAACTTAATTGTCGCTAAATAAATATCATTTAACAATACAAGAGAACACAAATGAAAACTAAATTGTAGAAGAAGTAACGGCAAACGATACTTGTGTTTTAATTAAAAAATATGATTAAAAAATTGTATATCCACCATTATCGATTATTTTATGTCATAATAATATAAAAGCCTACTTGGATCTATACAACTTCCTGATAAAATATAACAGACAATAAGAGTACAAAATATCATACACAAGACGAGGAATATAGTGAAACACAGTAAGAATAATGAAATGGAATAGGAATATGATAAGATAACGTAGCATAATCAAATGTTTCAATGTTAAACGATGAATACAGTGCAATCCTCCATTTTCATGCCGCTCGAAGAAGATTAATGACGCGATACTCGTCTCAAGTGGAAATGTCAGCCTCGTATTTCCCATGGGACATTTCTTCTATTTATTTCACCGACGAAACAGAGAGTAATTTTACGCGATATTGTCGGTACTGCTAACAAAGTTAATCCGGTAGAAGATATTACCATGGCTGTGTCGACTTACTCATGCGAATGTTCTCTATTTCATTCGTTTGCCCATATTGCGTGTACACTACGATGACAACGACGACGACGACAGATTCGACTTTGTCAACGTCAGCGTGTTCGCGCTTATCGTACGACTCGTTATCGGCGAGTTGATTGAAGCGTTAAAGGATATTGCAATATTCTCTACCTGCGTTATATATGAACATTGACGCATGTTTCTTCAATTTTGCACGAATGTATGTCGGTGATATCGTAGTAGCGCGTGATAAGAAACTTCTTGGAATCTAATCTGACATCCAGAAATCTATACGAATTTAAGTTACAAGTGTAACGTTCTAAACAGAGTGAGACGTTTACATAAATTATGATAATTTTCGTCGCACATAGAAACACGTGTTGACAACGTAAACGTGTGAGTTATCTATATAGGGAGATAAATTATAAATAAAATTATAAATAAAATTATAAATAATTATAAATAAAATAATAATCTACAGGTGCTGTTTGAAAAACGTATGGCGCATTTAAAATTTTCCTTTACATTTGATTCGTGTTCTTTAAAAATATTTTTAAATTAAACATAACAATATGTTACAATGATATTACAAAGAATTAGTGATGTAATTAGTCGATTAGTAACTTATTTTATTTCTTACAAGTAACCTTCGCCAAGTGTAACACGCCGATTGTTTTCATCTTCTGAAATCTGATTTAGGAGTCAAAAAAAAGATAAAATGTGCAAAAAAAATTAGTTCAATATAATTTAAATTACTTATACGAAGGGTGCAAGTTGAAAAAATAAGGAAGATATGATACAATACTTCTCGCAAACAAGAGATTTTAAGGAGAAATTTTTGAAACAAAAATTGCTTTGGTTTCAAAGGACATGTAAAATGATGATTTTTGTTTGACCTTGAGAGTCTTTTTCAAGATCACGATAAGGACACTACAAACGTTTTCGATAAAATCGCGAAATTTTATTTACGTCATAATTCTGTATGAAAAAATAAGTAAATACACACACACACACACACACACACACACACACACATATATCAGGTTGTCTAAAAAGTATTGAGCTTTTCGCGCACGAGATAGCGTTAGTGTCCCAAATCTCAGGATATATGAGTCGCAGCAGGTCAGGCCTAACGTCATTTGACAGCTGACAGTTGAAGCTAATAGACGTACAAAAAGTGTTGGAATTCTTATAATCAGACGTAAGATATTGCACCGTGAAGGCGAGTGAACTTTTCGCAAAACTGCGCTACATTTTACAATTTTATTTCGATAAAGGCGCAAATGCTGCGCAGGCCTGTGAATATTTGTGCTGTTTATGGATTTGTGCTGTTTATGGACAAGATACGTTATCAAAAGCAACAGCCAAAAGATGGTTCAGTCGCTTTCGTTCTGGAAATTTCGATGTCCAAGATGCTCCTCGCAGTGGGCGACCAATCACAGAAAAAGTGGATGATATTCTGGCAAAAATCGAGCAAGACCAGCATGTAAGCAGTCATGACATCGCCAATGACCTAGACATCCATCACGAGCTGCTGCTGCTGCCAGGCAGAACGATAGACTCGGACCTGTACTGTCGACAATTAGCGCGATTGCACCTAGCAATTCAAAAGCAACGGCCGGAACTGGTCAACAGAAAGGGTGTCGTATACTACGCTGACAATGCCAGACCGCATACATCTTTAATGACCCATCAGAAATTGGGAGAACTTGGAAATTGGGAGGTTTTAATGCATCCACCGTATAGCTCGGACCTGGCACCGTCAGACTATCATTTGTTTCGGTCTCTGCAGAACTTGCATGGTGTTAAGTTAGTTTCAAAAGAGGCCTGTGAAAACCACGTGTCACAATTTTTTTACCAGAAACCACAGAAGTTCTATAGCGACGGGATTATGGTGTTGCTGGAAAAATGGCAGAAAGTCATCGAACAAAATGGTGCATATGTGATTTCATAATGTTATTTTCAAATAACAATATATATATATATTCTCAATTTTGACCTCCAAAGGCTCAATAATTTTTAGACAACTTAATATATACAGGGTGAAGAAAAAATCCCAGACCGGTAAAATATCTCGAAAGCCAAACATTTTAGAAGGAAATGTTTCGGACAGAAGTTGTATGATTTCAAGGGAAACAAAGCAACTATACTATTTTATTTACAAATGGCACCATTTTCAAGATATTCACTGATCATTACTTTTCTTAAATGGATATCCCAATTTTTTATTACACCTTCTTTTTTTACCAATTAATTTAAACAACTTTTGTCTGAAATATTTTTTCATTTGCCTAATATTTTTTTAGATATTTAAGGAAAACTTGATAACTTTTTCAATATTTAACTTACGATATCTCGCTAACTATTTGTCGAAAGAAAAAGTGATACTAGACTTTTTTGCTCTATTTGGTTTCAAGAATAAATTGTTATTATAGCATCC